TGCTCGCAGGCTTTCACCAAGTCCAATGCATTGTATCCGCCTCAGCTAAGCGAGCACAAAACTCCCTCGAGACAAGCGGAGGCTGCAGCTGGGGAACATGCGGCCACGAACTGCTTCCAGTCCTGCCCGTGGCCCTCCAGCTCCAGCAACTGCTGAGCCTCCTGCTCCGTGAGGTCCTCGACCCAAAAGTTCACCTGTCCGCCGCACTGCGGATGCGGATGCTGAGATCTTCCGAACAGTGCAGGCCTGTCGCTGAGAACCTCCCGCATCGAAGGTCATCGCTGTGCCTGCGGAGGAGGCGCAAACGATGACCTCGGCTCACACTTCAAGCCTCTGTGAGCCGACCGTGCATGCAACACAGCGCCGGGTCCCCCGCGTGCACAGCAGCGCCCAGCCGGTCCGAGGACATCTCCTTCGCAAAATTCGACACCAGCGGCATACCTCGGGCGGGGAAAAACCTGAAGCAAGCTCCAAAAGCTGAGCGGCGCGCCTTCGGTCGTCTCTCGCGGGATGTCCAGAACGAGGATGGGCACCTTGGACGGGGCCTCGGGATCCTTCTGCAGCTCCGTGGCAACCCGATTGAAGAGCTCTTTGAGCATTCCAGCCCCATCCAAGTGCAGTTCCTTGTAGAGGATGTCCTTCCAGCCGGCGTTGTCGACGGTGTGGACGAAGGTGCCCGGAAGGCCACGGAGGGCCTCGTGCACCGCGACGGACTTTCCGCTGCCATGGCGGCCGGTCACCACGGTGGCATGCTCCTTCCAGGAGCTGATCCTCTCGCGGATATCTTGGATGACCTGGCACCAGGCACGACACGTCAACGCCTGCGGGCACCAACAACTTCATTATCAAGGAGGCTACGCAGGCTATACCCCAACAATATTAGCTTCCGTGCCGAAACAACCGAAGCATCTATTGCTGCCTTGCGGGTCACCACCTGCTCCTTGGCTTTTGCAGGGTCGTGCGGCCGCATCATACGATTCACCGCCTCCTGCAGGCGCCCTTCCGGAGACTCGCGGAAAGCCCGCTCCGA